TGGAAATAGCTGATGTCTTCTCAGAAAAACAAGAAGCATAAAATTGGGGGAAAAAAGTTAATTAAGAGAGGTAAAGGGTGTTAATTTACAGTTCAGAATTATTTTGGGTCTCAAAATAATTGCACTAAAGGAGAACAGGAAAACCTATTATCAAATTGGTAGGAGGATATTATCTTAAATCACCTCCAAAAATGGTACTACCTGGCTGTGGGCAGTGTTTCAGCCTGAGGATAGCAAAAGCTTCTTCCATTATAGATTTGTGAAAGCCACACCTATTTTCCCCCCTCAGCCTCCCTGTGCATGCTCCTGATTTTTAATTTCTTTCTCCCTTGCCTCCCATTGCCTGAAATAAGATACTGGTCAGGAAGAGAAAGAAGGAACCAGTTTAAGTTCTTCATCCCAACCCTACACACAATTGTCTACAGTTAGAAAACAATGCCTAGAGGTTAGACCACACAATACAACCTCTGCAATTTATTGGTACAATGTGTACATCTCAAGTCTAACCTGAACACTAAAAATTCCTGAGTGTAGAATATTTAACTGAACAGCCTGTACAGCAAACTGAATTGATTTCAGCAGAGTTACTGTATAAGATCTTAAGGGACATGGACAAAGCTAAGAGAATTGGTATAATAATTTTCAATAAGTGAGATGGAAGAAAATATGTACATTTGGGTTTGTCCGAATTGTCCTTATAATTGTTTCTTTATCCATGGTTGGCTATTAAGATATGGCGAGAATCCTAAAGATCATCACTTTGAACCATGAAGAATTTGACCTAGTGAACTTAAGAGATTTGCTCAATAACACACAGCTAGTCAATAGCAAAGCTGTATCTAAAACTAGTTCTTCTGCCTTTGGAACCATTCATTTTTTTCTTACAATTTAACATTCATTCATGATAATCAATGAGAAATACATGCTAACATTTTTCAAAAACTGAAAGTCACAATATAAACCCAAAATATTTCAAATAAAATTAAGTATAAGTCAGTTTAAAAGTAAGAAAATTTTTGTATCAATTTATTTCCTATGTTCTATACTAACAGAAAACACAGCTATCAGAGTACAGTGGCAAAAGCTACTGAAGAACAAGAAACTTCCTGACACTTTAAAAAAACAAACAACTGCAGGCTAGGAACTCTGAGCATATGAGAATGCCAGTACTTTTATACTCTCCTGGCTGAGTCCCAGTATGATCAAACAAAATGGGGAAAAACGAATTCTGAGGGAAGATGTGGGAAAAAGTCAAAAGGTAATCTATCTTATGAATTAAAGAAAATAAGACCTCAGAAAGAGAAGGGCCAGGGGAAGAAGGATAAAGGACAAAATACACCCCTAGTTACCAAAGTATGAAGAGAATATATAAATGATCAGGTAGAGTTAAGCAAAGCGGATATGTGTGTGCATGTTGGCTGAGGGCTCTTCCAGTTTTTCTTGGTTTCTGGTTAATTAAGCACCTGTTTAAAAAAAAGTCTCAACTTTACTCATGCTTCTGTGTGCTTCCCCCATTCCCAAAGTTAATAGACGTGGGCAGGAGGTAAGATTTAAATTTTATCAGTCTTACCTATCACCACATAGCTGTCAACTCACAAAAAAGAAAATGTGGAGAGAATATACTTTAAGAAATAGACTACCAAAGCAACAGTTCCTCAGCAAGCCCTGTCAGCTCCACTTACAAAACAGACTTCTAATCTTTACACAAGTTCTCTTATCTTTCCTCTGGGTTACAAGCTCCAATCAGGGTTCCTCTGCTGTTACATTCCCCCCACCACCCATCTCTGAAAAATGTAAAACAGATTAAGTCAATTCTCCCAAAGCACTCCAGAAGCTTCTATTGCACTTACAATAAAATTCAATTCTCTACCATGGCCCTCAATTCTCTACAACCCCCTAATCGTGGCCTATAAGGCCTATCTAATATGACCCTTGCTTAGCACCCCAACTTCATCTCCCTCCAGGAACTCTGAAGGTCAATAACCCCACAGGCCTTCATTCTTAATCCCAATTATACCGAGTTCCTTCCACCTGGTCAAAGTCATGGTATGCAATATCCTGTTTAAAAACCGTCCTGCTCTTTCCTTGTCTTGGAATGTTCTGACCCCAGATTTTTTCTTGGCTGACCCTTAATATTCAAGAGCAGCTCAAATGTTACCTTTTGGTCATTCCTGATAATCCAGTTTACAGTAACCACACACACACACACAAACACACACACAGATATCATGCCACCCTATCATCCTGTTTTGTCTTCATAAATTTATCTCTGACTGAAATTATGTTGCTTATTTATTTGCACTGGATAACAACCTCCACCCCTAAAATATATACACACACTTTCAGGTAAACTCCTGGGACTGCAGATATTCCTCGCCAAATTCCCTAAGCCTAGAATAATGTGTAGTACCTGGTGGATACTCCCTATTTATCGAATGAAAGATTTCATCTATCTCCAACTTTTCCCAAATCTTGTTTCTGTCTTGTATTTCTAGCACCTGTTCACTATCACATGCTTTCTTTTCTGGATTTTTTTTTTTTTTGGTCTTCATTATTTTTACCGCAACACAAAGGAGGTTAATGGTAACAGAAACATGTTCAGCCAATGCTACTGCCAGTGGGGCAGAAGGCCAAGTAAAGTGCTCCTTAAGGGCAAAAGCCCTTAGGATTGATCTCATCTATTAGGGCTGCTCTTAAGGACAGCATCAAAAGGAATTATGGAGGAAGCCTCTCTGTGGCATAAAAAAAGTACCACATGCTATGTGTGGACACTGGGCAGTTCTTAAAAATGACAACATGCAAAAGATTCAAATGCAGCAGCTTTGACATCATCTGGGAATCTGTACTTTCAACAACTCCCCCGGGCACTTCTGATACAGGCAGTCTTTAGAAACTCTGAACTCTTGGACCAAATAAAGAATAGCAAAGACCTGAGGGATATTACCAGGTAGATGGTTTAATCAATAGAATAATTTTTTTAAATCTCTGTCTTGAAGCTCTCAAGTCAAATTCCATTTCAATATTTGCTATTATTTAAATCCATTGGTCTTTACATCTTTTAGCTGTTTGAAAACAATAATAGCTACTACGTTGTGAATGCTATCACCAGTGTTTTACACAAGTATCTTATTCCATTTTATAGATGAGCTGCAGTTAAATAAGTACAACCAACTATTAAGAAGTGACAGACTCAGAAATCAAACAGATCTGTATGTTACTAAAGTCTGTGTTCTATGGAGGATATACCTCCCACCAAGTATATGTTAATAAAAGTACCAATAAATAAAAATCCAGATTTGTAAATGAAAGGAAAGGATTTCTCCTAAAATTCCTCACTTAAGAAAATATAAATATTCCTTAATATAAATATTCCTCACTTTAGTATTGCATGGGATTTTATTACAAGGTGAACTTTGGTGGTACATTTAAATACCTTAACAATGGCATGGCAACTTCTGAAAATGAATAATCTCAAGAGTCCTTGTCTAAAAGAAATAATCACCCTTTCAGTCAAAATTACCAAATATTAAGAACTGGTTCATTAATTATAGATCAAACAGTGGTTCTCAAATTGGGCTGAGAGAATTAAGAATCACTTGGGAAGCATCTTAAAAATAAAAATTCTAAGCTTCAAACCAGTTCTGAATTATGTCTCTGGGTATGATGCTCCAATGCCCCAAGTCTTTATTTTTATAAAGCTCCCCAAGGGTTTTTGATGAATAACTAGGGTTCCAAACCAGTTAGCCAAACCCCAGGATTCTAAAAGTGAGTAAGTTGAGGTCTGATAAGGGTATTGTCTAAAGACAGACAACTTTTAAGTAGCACAATAGTGTGGAAAAACAATATTCTAACTCCACATTTTAGCACTTTTAATACCAATTCAAGCTGCTGTTTTGGTAAAATTGTACTTATTTCTGCTCTGTTGCTTAGGCCTTGGCTGTTACTATCTTCAGGGAACTTACTTCCTCATCTGTAAACTGGGAATAATAGTGCTTACCTTTTAAGAGTTGCTGTGAGAATTAAACAATATAACATTCATTAAGTAATGCACTTAACATAGTGCTTGGCATATACCGAATGCTCATCAGTAAGGTACATGGCCCAGTAAAAAGCATGCCTTTTTTTTTACAGAAGAGTACTGAACTCCTCCAACTACAAAATGAATAAGAAACTCATGTTTAGCTTTGGAAGTTGAAAAGGACTTTATATTCACGGTAAGGTGAAAGGTCCAGGGCTTGCCTGATTCTTGCACACCAGTTCCTCATCAAAATCATCTAGTGATTTCTGGATGATGACTAGGAACCTGTATTTTTAAAAAGATCCTTATTCTCCAACCAGACGCTTCCTAAGCAAACCCAGGTTTGATAACCATTTGTATACACAATCCGTGACCAGAGCACAAGGCCTCTCCAGTCCCCACAAAGAACTATCATGCTCGACACCGGAAGAGTTGGGTCATCATACTCTGATGCAAACAACAGCTGGGGACGGCTGTGCAGAGTAACCATCACGATCACCAGGAATAGCCTCGACTCGCTCGCTCATCTCCCAAGAAACTTAGAAATTTATGCAAGTGCCTTTCCCGTAATCTCCGTGGCAGACAGTACTGCCTAGGTGGCCATAAAGGGCTAAAGTTAACTCAACAACCTCCTTCCCAAGCGTAAGACCAGAGGAAAGCGACCGTGGATAGCTGACTAAGCCCGAGCGGCGCCAGAAGGTTAATGACCCTCTTGCCCTGTACCCTGTGATGGCCAAGTCTCCACCACCCCACAGACCAGCTGCCGGAAGTGTGTAACCCCCAGCCTGTGGGGGATGCCGGGAGTTGTAGTTAACTGAGTCTCTTGCTCCTCAATTCACCTTTTTTCAAACAAACGAAGACCTTGAAAACCTAAGGTCACTTTATGGCCAACAAATCTAATCCTTCCCTTTTCCGTCTGACAAAGGGCAGGCTCTTAGAGCTCATGCAGAATATCGGACTACAAGTCCCAGCATGCCCTGCAAAGCGCCCGGAGCGACTGTCCAACGTCGTAGGTGTGGACTGCTTGAATGGAGCGTCGGGAGTAAGGCAAACCCTGCTACCGTCCGCGCGAACGGTACCTGCTCCCAGAGCGTGAGTGTGGGGTGTGGACCGTGCGCGTGCGCGCTCGGAGAGGGCGCGAGACGGGCGCGCCCCGCCGTTGCGGGCTCGCGGCTGCTGAGATTGGCGGCAGCGGTGCCGCGCGCCCTAAGGGCCGGTAGTTGCGGGGCCTGCAGCCTCGCCCGGGGCTGCGGGCAGCTGTGGCGGCGGCCGGGGACCGCAAGGGGCGTAGGAAAGCAGGGGACGGAGGGGGCCGGCCTCGGCGCGCGGAGGAACAGCCGAGCATGCCCCGCGACAACATGGCCTCCCTGATCCAACGGATTGCCCGCCAGGCGTGCCTCACCTTCCGGGGCAGCGGGGGCGGCCTCAGCGCTTCCGACCGCTGCACGGCGCCAGGCCCCGAAGCGCCGATGCCTCAGGGCTTCCCGGAGAACCTAAACAAGCTAAAGAGCCTACTGACCCAGGTCCGCGCCGAGGACCTGAACATCGCCCCGCGAAAGGCTACGCTGCAGCCTCTGCCGCCCAACCTGCCGCCCGTCACCTACATGCATATCTGCGAGACCGACGGTTTCAGTCTCGGCGTGTTCCTGCTCAAGGGCGGCACGTGCATCCCTCTACACGACCACCCAGGCATGCACGGCATGCTCAAGGTGCTCTATGGCACCGTGCGCATCAGCTGCATCGACAAATTGGAGGCGGGCGGCGGACAGCGGCCGCGGGCGCCTCCGCCAGAAAAGCAGTTCGATCCTCCGCTGCAGGCCAGGGAGCGGGATGCCGTGCGGCCGGGCGTGCTGCGTTCGCGGGCAGAATACACCGAGGCCAGCGGCCCCTGCGTCCTCACCCCGCACCGGGATAACCTGCACCAAATCGATGCTGTAGACGGGCCAGCCGCCTTCCTGGACATCTTGGCCCCGCCCTACGACCCCGACAACGGCCGGGACTGCCATTATTATCGGGTGCTGGAGCCCATCCGGGCCAAGGAGGCCTCTGGCTCTGCCTGTGACCTGCCCCGAGAGGTGTGGCTCCTGGAGACCCCTCAGGCCGATGACTTCTGGTGCGAGGGGGAACCCTATCCAGGTCCCAAGGTCTTCCCTTGAAGCTGCCGGCGCCAGGGAGCTGTGGGCCGAAATGTGACCTACTCAGATCTGGGCCTGGCTGCTCGCGACCAGCCACAAGGGCTCCCTCCCTTCTCCCAGCCCTGGGCGTTGGATCTACTGGAATGGGCTGTAGCGCTTCCTCTGGAGCCTTGGGAAGCTCTGGCGACTGGACTGCCGCCACCCGGCATGGTTACGGGGGTGGGGTTGGCGGGGAGGCTAGGTTGTTTCCTGGCTCTGTCACTATCACTGGTGTTTTGATTAGCGGGGCAGAGGGCCAGGGGACTATCTGAAGCGCTTCCATTCTAAAGCCATAAAGAGAATACTCTTCCCTCTTTTCCCCATCCTATACGAAATACACTAAATGAATTTCTCCCTCCCACCCTTTGAGTAAATAGGGTCTGTTCTCCACTCATGTCCTTATGCCCTTTTTCTCCTTATTATAGTTTTAAGTTATTAACTGTGCATGACCCAGTGGTTTGAATTGTTTTTAGTTCAAGACATTGGTAAAAATTAGGTTTAAAGAGATGAGCTACTGTTTAAAGTAAGCTGTCCTACTTAATTAATTCGTTGTAAAAAATTAAATCATTTTTCCGGGGTTGAGAGATCACCCCCAAAACAGAACTATGCATATAGAGGGCAAAATTTACTTTCCTACCTTTGCCCACATCTAGTTTACTCCAGCAGCATCTAGTAAGAAATTCAGCACCTGCGTTATCTCTGACAAATGGTCACCTAAACTTATCTTCCCTGTGAATCTCCATATCTGTGAGTTGAACAGATTTCTTGTTGAAGATTCACCTTTAATGCAAAAACTGTATTATCCTCGTGACTTTTTTTTTTTGCCTTAGTGTAATTTAAGAGGTGATAGGATAATTGTGGGTAATTGTGTATTTCCTAACCAGAAGATTCAGAGGAGCTGAATCTGTATGCTTCCAAACAACTGAATGTAAAATACCCCTAGCCAGCTGTTGAATTCCATGCCCCTATATACTTGCAGTATTTTCCTGCAAAAGGAGAGAGAAGTGCTGATGACTGTTTCAAATTCTATCAGGAGCTCTAATGTTCCAGGGCACTGGTGGTTCCAGCTGCTACCTGGTGGCAGTGTTCTAAGAACTCTCTCCCTACAGGAGAGAGCCAGTGCTTGCTTCATCTAGTGTGGTTTTCAGTAGGAAGAGAGGGAAGGCACAGCTATCAAGTCTAAGAGCTTGAGAATTAATTACACTCCTTGCCATTTTAGGGTACCAAAACTTAAGACAAAACACTTCCCACTCCCAACCTCTCGAAATGAACAGTTGTGCTATCTGTGACTGGTTTTATTTTTGCCCTTTTAATAAGCTGAGCAACTTTACCTTGTTTACAAATGTATTGACACCATTTGCTTCTGGCCATGGAGCACTGTTGTTTCCCCCCTTTTTACTACTTATAGGATTCCTTTTTTCACAAAACTTTTAACAAAACAAACTGTAGAAATAAACACATTAAACTTTGCCTAGCTGTTGTCTAATCCCTCTTGATTGACTGGTCCATGTGGCAGTCGAGTTCTAATATACGTAATAAAGGGAGGTTCCCTCTTGTAAAGTGTTGACCTTGTAGGAAAACAGTATGTGCCTTTGCCTCTTTATGCACCCTGGGTTACAGAGACCCAGAGGGAAGGAATGTTTTTTCCCCAAGTTTAGAATGAAAAAGCAAATTATTCATGAATGATTATTTTTTAACACAAAAATATGCTTATTCCATGTGACATGCTACTATGTTGTAAAACTTGAGAAAAGAATAATGCCTACCTACCATTTCCTCCAGGATTGCTCAAAGTATTTTATGGTAGCTTCACTTTCTGGTGTGATTTAGTATACCTAAGGGGCAATTTGAAGCATTTCTTCATGCGATTCAATTTAAGACTAAATTCTAGATAAAAAAATGATGATTTTCTTAGAAATGTGTTCACAAATGGCTTTTTTTCTTAGCACAGTAAGATGGTTCTCAATCACATGCCTACCTGTTTTGAAATATATTCTAGCAGAAAGTTGATTAACTTAAAAAGATTGTTGATAGGCATGCGTGTTATAGTACAACTTGGAGTACATTAAGCTAACCTTCAAAAATTCATTCTGGCAATAAGTAATAGAAGACAAATTGTTTTTCCAAACTTTATTATGAAAAGTTCTCAAGTATAAGCAAGTTGAATGAAAAAAACTAAGGTGCTTTTCAAAAGAATAACTGAAATTGTTACAGGCCAAAACAGCAATATAATCTTTCTCTCTCATATAGTTCAATAAGAACTGTGAAACTTTTGGTTCACTAATAAATTCTGAGTAATTAATGATGAAAAAATGTAACTCATATAATGAGCCACTAAGGAAAGAATATTCTTATTACAAAGACAAAATGGTGCAGAAAAACCTTGCATCTCTCTGCATAAACTGTCAATCATGACTGACTTCATGTGCTGCTATTACGTTTCCATATATTCCTGCAATGTACACTGTTTTAGTAACAACTGTGGGAAAAAGTCTTCCCTACAAAAACTAGTGAGCACAATGATACTAATTGCTTAACTTTTCTGTTGAATAACAAATACAATAATGTCCTAGAAGTTGTCTAAGCACTTCTAAAGCTTTTTAATTCTCTGGTTCTTATCAATGGCCAGTTTCATCAATGGAGAGTATGTATACCTTCCTACTACTTTATGAGAATTGAGGGTTTATTAAGCCTGATGTACATGGGTTGCATTTACACCAACTGTTGTTTATTAACAAAGGTGGTAGGCCTGTTTTTAAAGTAGTGTTTGTCAACAGGAGTAGGTTCTCCCAAACACACCTTTTATTCTTTTTGCATTGTCCCCTTGTAGGAGCCTCAGTCTTGGCATCTCAGGTGGACTCTGTCATCACTTCGCTATTATAAATGACTTTGAGTCTTGTGCTGTAGCTCAATTGCTCTTTCTGAAAAAGCAATATATCTTTTTTTCAGGGCTCTGCCCACTACTATTCAACTCTAACCTGAGGCAGTGCCACTCCTATAACTCTGGTCTGAATTCAGTACTCAAGGTTATATACAGAAGTGGACCACTGATCACTTCAGCGCAAAGTCATCTACTGTCAAAGAAGGAAATCATTTGTTAAGCCCCACATAGACACTGAATCTTAAGATCCAGGAATGTTACATTTCTGGAACAAAACTGGTGTATTTATGGAAAATAAAGGCATGTTTGAAAATGTTTAGATGTAAATCTTACTTGATTATTGCTAAATGAAGAAGGAAAATATTGCTATGATGCTACAATTTAATTATATTAAAGGTTCATGGTCTGTAAGATTGTTATACTAAAATCTGGTGGTCTACAGTCCAAGTAATAATAAAAACTTAAAATTAATAGTTGATTTCCTTAAGAATGAGCTTTGAAATGTCTGATTGAAAATACATCTGAAACTAATGTCTTACCAGACTATTTTGCTACAACAGAAAAAAGCTCCTTATATATTTAACATAAAGAAAATAAGCTAGTGAAAATCTGAAAATAAGCTACCAAGGAAAGAATCTTTGGACTTAAGTATTTTCTTGTCTTTCCTTTTTCTGTAAAATTTGTTTCATTTTAGTTTAGGCTGGCAGCATTTTAGGTGCTTGTGATGATTCTAAGTGTTCTTTCCCCTAAGAAAAAAGAATTGTATTGGACAGTTATAATATCACTACAGCCATTTTTAATACATACCAAACAATTTGCCTTCATTTCATTAGCAGGATGTTGAAATTCAATAGCCTGGTTTACGAATAATTGAAAACCTTATTTAGGTTTAATAGGCCTATTTTTAATGTGCACAGAACCATCTCAGATGCATTTTAACCTCTAAGAAATTATTCTCCAGGAGTTTATTTGTAATCTCAGTAACAGCTGAAACTATTATTCAATAAAGCACATTGAATATAAGTAGACTTAGGTTTATATGTATGCTTGATTTCTTGAGCAAAGTAAAACATGAGACACCTGTGAAAGGCACCCTGAAAGTTTCAAGCAAAGAGTAAAATCTGATTAAAGATTGATTACCATGTTGAAATGAAGGCATAGAAGCCACAAAGTTGGGTGTCAGAAAACACAAGGCATGTTCCTTATGGTATGTTAGGCCACTTCACTAAGCCCCCAAGTGAAAGTGATTATGTAACTGATTTTACTCATCAAAATGTATTTAATTTTACTCTCTTGAAGATGACTTTTAAAATGCCTTTTTTAGTCTATTGCTCCGTAAACAATTGTTTACATTATTTTAATGGAAGGTGCTCTGAAATTAAATTTGGCAAGAATATTACAGATCTAAAACTTTTGGGTACTAAATTTTAAAAGGAAATTTTAGTAGGAGAGAAGTATTCATTAAAGACATAACTACAAAATGCGGCATTGCTTTACATGTATTTCTTTAACAAAATTGGCCAAGCAAGGATGATAATATGCTGACAAGCTAGGAAATATGAATCTAACAGATTAACACCAGTCACCAGAACAATGTGACGCAAGTTTAGAAATGTCTATCTAGTAATTATTTTAAAAAAGCATTATGCATCCCTAAAATACAGACAGGGAGGAAATAAGAAAAGGGTTAATTTACCTCCACAAATTAGATCTCAAATTCTAGTGCTGGTAAGGGCAAAAAGTTTCCAAGAGTAGCTGTTGCTGAGTATTGTTCTAGAATATAGGCCATCAATTATCAGCCACAACTGAAGGAGTCTAACAGTGGCAAAGGACAAACAAGATGACAGGGTTTTCAGATTACATAGTTAAACTGGGTGTTCCAACATGCTATATTTGGGTAAGGGTGCAGAAGCATTGAATGAACTTCAATGACATCAGGCCAAATTTAAAGGTAACTTTACAAAGACATCCTTTTGCTTGGTATGACTGATAACTTTTTTGATGAATTTATATTTTAAACTAAAGGAGGCTTGCAGTAAAATGAATCCTACAGTGTAATTCTTCTGCAAATGATTATCCAGTACCACAGAGGACTACATTTACTTATTTAAGTCAGTCTGTCTTAAGGTTTTCTTAAGGCTGATGTACACCTTATCTGAATTGGGTATTTTGATAGTCTGTAGATGTGCCACTTCTATGGCAGACAAATGATCCTCCCAAATAGGGGTAATTGGGGAGAGAAGGCTGAAGAGAAATGAGTCCTGGGGTAATTCCTTTGACAACCCATTAATGCTGTCATCAGCAGTGTCTGAGTGCATTTTTTATCTAAAGAGGCAAAAGCACTTTTCAAAAAGTTTTATGTGGTCATGAGACTAATCCTGGAACCTTAAAGTCATTTCCAGCTTGACCACGCCACCACACTTTCCACAAAGCCACATCTCGTTTGAGTGGCCCTGGTCAGGGTTTTGAAGGCAACCACAAATTGTGTAGTCTCCGAGTGGGCACTTGTTTGTAAGTATTTATTTTCCGGAGCCCACTCAGGAGCAGAGAGAAGCTATAGGCTGTTAAAGAGGACGGAACAATGAGTCAAAACAACGCCTCCCCACTTTTACACTAATGCACAGGGGAAAACCCCAAGACACTAGCGTTTGATTATGAATGGAGATTGCTTTGGGTGAAATGACCAGTGTTGAGAGGCAAGCAAAGAAAACTTGGATATCCTGGCTTGGTTAAAGCTCTAAAACCCATGGATGACTTAAATTCCCACCCAGTAAATCTTTCATAAATGATTTCTGCAACAAAAATATTGTTGAAAAGTATTTATTTACACTATAGTCATAAACCATCCATTATTTGAACTTCAGTTAGTGGTTTTGTGTTAGAATAAATCATTGATATTTCCACAACTATTAAGAGCTAATAACCAAACAAGTCAGCTCCAGTAACATTATTTACATTCTTACCTGCAATTCAACTACAAAGATAACACTTTTAAATCACAAAACAGAGCATACAAAAATATACTTTCTAAAAAAAATTCCAAATATTAATAGGCAGAAATATACAGCCACACTAAACCCAAGGGAGTGATTTTTTTTTCCATAGTAAGGCAACCCATTTACATGCAGACCCTGTAACATTGTCTACATCACACAAGGCACCAAGGACACTTCCAACACAATTGCATGCAACCTAGTTTCAGAGAATATATGTACATCCCCCTTTAATAAGTTAACCTCTGACTCACTTTTAAGAGATCATAAATGCTTTACTTTTTTTTTTCCCAAAGGTTCAGAACTTGGAGAACAGTGCACATGAAAAATAAACACAAAATCTGAATTGGATATATACTGAAAAAATAGTCTACGTTTGTCAAACAACTCAAAAAGGAGCAGATATTGCTATGTCCCTCCCATCACATTGCACTTCTGTTCTCTGGGTTTATAATACATATTGCTTAAAGGGTTGAGACGACTAGATAAGCTTCAATTGACTGTTCTAGAGCCACAGAATGCAGCATAAAGGCCATGCTTCACTCACTGGACAGCATCCCCCAAATCAGTCCCAAGCCATAAAGTGCACATCAGTTTTGCTTCTTTTTGCTGTCCCCACCTGAAGGGATCAGCATCTCCCAACCTACTGCAGAAAAAGTCTCACACCAACTCTGACATGGAGTCAAAAACCTGTAATGGGTCAAAATAAAAGGGAGGGGAGCAAAACCTAGTCAAACAACCCTTATAAGCAGGGTTAGGCCTCTGCCCTCTAGGCCCTCACCCAACCGTCTTCTGAGCCACCCCATTTCCTTAGGCTGTTAGTCAACTCAGCCAAAGAGAGACTAAGGTGGGCTAAGTTTTAGAAAGGATCCTCTTCTAAAAGGAAAAGAGGGCAGTGCTAAGCTCTGCCAAGGCCCTTTGCCCAATGAAGGGAAGGATGGGCAGGAAAGGGTGGTAGTGTTTATCATGCAACTCGAGAGGACAAGCGAGCAAAAGGCCTGTGGGGCCTCGTGGAGCTGGCACGTCAGCCTGAGCCTCATTCTCAAGGAGTCCGGGTCCGAGAGGAGCACGGGACAAGGGGCCCTCCGCCAACAGTGCCGCTGGTGCTGCCGCAAAGGGGCCCCCCCGCCTGCGCGCCCCCAGTGCACGAGGCTGTGGAGGCAGCTGGCACCGACGAGGAGGGGGCACTGCTTTTGCGCTCCTTCTGTCTCAGGTGGATCTTGGTGTGGCGCTTCCTTTCGTCACTGCGGGCAAACTTACGGCCGCAGTAGTCACAGGCAAAAGGCTTCTCGCCAGTGTGGGTGCGGATGTGGGTCGTGAGGTGGTCACTGCGGCTGAAGTTGCGCATGCAGATCCGACACTGGAAGGGCTTGTGCCCTGTGTGGATTCGGATGTGCCGTGTCAGCTCGTCAGAGCGGGAGAAACGTCGGTCACAGCCTTCTGCGGGGCAGGGATACGGCCTCTCGTGGACTGGCGTCTTGCTAGGCCTGTTGGGGTACTTTCGAGGCCTCAGAATGGGCCGCAGTGGCAGGTGGTGTGGGTTATAGGCGGCCGCAGCCACTGCAGATGAGCTGCTGCCGGGCAGCCGGGGTCCCTCGCTACCTCCACTGGCCCCTGGCCCTGTGGACCCGGTAGGGGGTCCCCCCAGGGTAAAGTTGCGGATGGTGGAGAGCGGAGTGAGTGGAGGGGGGACTCGCAAGGAGTCCAGCGGGCAGGGAAAGGGCTTGCGGTCTGGGCCAGCTGTACCATGGAGGTCTCTCTGGCACTGGGACGGGAAAAATCCAGGATAGTCGGGAATCATGGGGAAGAGCCCTGGATCCGTGGCTGGCTTGGGGGACGGGTAAGAAGGAGGTGGTGGGTATGCCAGAGAGGATGAAGCGGAGGTGGTGGCTGCCGACAGGAATGCTGAGGGGTCCTGGTAGATGTCTCCTGCACAGCCAGAGTAAGGAGGAGGCGGTGGCGGTGGAGAGTAGAGATGGTCCAGGTCAGGCTGGGTCTGGGACATGGTGCACACACCCAGGGGTCCTGTGGCCAGTGGGTTGGGGGAAGCAGAGGTGACGCTGGATGAAGCTGTGGTCGAAGCTGGGGAGGTGACCCCTTGCAGGATGCCTGCACTCACAATATTGATGATGCCTTCTGGATAGCAGCTGGCAGGGTACTGGGGGTCAATGGAGAACTTGCCCATGTAAGTGAAGGTCTGGTTTCGGGGTGCAGAAACAGGAGCAAAGCTGCTAGGATATGGGAGATCCAAGGACCTCTTCTCTCCAGTCATGTCAATGTTGATCATGCCATCTGGGGGAGGTGAAAGGAAGAATGGAGGTGGAGCAATGAGCGGCTACTAAGAATCCCTTCTCACCTCCCCTCACACGGGCCCTTCCTAGCCCAGGATCCCTGCAGCACTGGAGCAGAGTCCAACAGGTGGAGAAACTGAGGCCCAGAGACAGTAAGAAGAGGCTAGGCCAAGATCCCACTGTGGCAGCCAATG